CATTGGAAGGGCATGACACACATTTGAGGAGATCCTGAGAGTAATGGGAAAGGAACACGGTGTCATTGTCCTTCCAGCCCAAAGTCTGTGCACCAAGCCCTGTTTCCTGAAGGTCACACTTCCCTCAGGCCCTTGATCTGGCTTCCTGATATTGAGGTTGCTAAGAGACCACAGCCAGGCCAGAGCCAATGTCTCTGTGGCTGTTTTCAGCATTGTTCTCCTCTGGTTTTTTTTCCCAACTTCCTTCCTCTTGCTCCATGCCAGGGCTCAGGTCAGGCCTATTCTTTTTTTTTTTTTTTTTCTTTTTTTTTTTTATTCTTTTTTTTTTATTTAAGGAGAAAAGAAAAAAAAAAGTGAAAGGGTACAAGTTATACAGATTTACAGAAGAAAAAAATGAACAGTAGGAAATCACTAGTTAATGGATTACATATTGCCATCTTAAAAATAATTGTTCAAGTCACAAAATTAAAGCTTGTAGAGTGGACATTCCAACAATGATACTGCAAACAGTTCTGTTCAATGATCCAATAAAACTCTGTGATATCATTTTCTATCTTATACACTTAAATATACATGCAGTTATATAGTTTAGAGCACTTTCTTTTCCTCTCTTTTGTACAATGACTATTACACATTTTGGGTTTCATTGCTCCCACGGTTCTTATTGCTTTTTTGGAAGAGAGTAAAACCAAATGAGACATAACAGGACAGAATCGGTCAAGTCAAAAGGGTGGACATAATAGATAATATAAAAACATAATACAAGGTGATCATCAATGGTTACCATAATGCCTCCTGCTATCTCTAATAGAATTGCCTATATCATTAGTTATAATACAATTGAACAAAATAGTAAAGAACAAAACCGACAAAACCAACACATTGGAGACATTGTAGGTCTTCAAAAGTAGATAAAAGTCAATGAGAATGGGCGTTATAATGAATCTCATTATCTTCTCAGCTGATGCCTAAACTTTCGAACCTGATACTATCCATCAAAACAGAATAGGGGAACATCAGTCAAAAACAAGATGGTGAGGGTAATACAGGGCTTCAAATCAAGATAATAGAAAGTCAAAGTGGGTTACTATATTATATCCTGCTATTTTTTTCCCTTTAATTAAACGGATAAAAATAAAAAAGTAAATAATGGAGTGGAGATTGAGAAAAAAGAGGGCATAACAGCAAAACAGCGCAGATCAAAACATAACCATTTAAGCAGAATAGTGTTTCACCACCAGATAATTCCGACCTAAAAGTAGTTACCATATTGACTCTTTCCTTGAAGTCCTTGAGTACAACTTCATATACTGTAGCATTAAGAATATCAAAACAATGTAAAACCATTTAAGAGAATGACAGCATTACAGAGTATTTAGAATCGACTAACAGAAAATGAACAATGGTTTCTGTATAATCTCCTTGTCTTTAAAAGGTTTTTGCTTGTACTATAGTACATAATAAAATCCAATAAGTCAGGCCTATTCTTGTTTCCTTCGTGGTGAGCTGGACACTGCTCCTACACTGGGATTCTGGTAACCAGACTTGCGATCTGTGTGGATTCCCAAAGTGTAAGAACTGAATCTCCAGGAAACCTCTCCCTGTCCTTGGATGAATTAGATCAGGCTGAGGCTGGGTCTGTCCCTGGGAGTCAGGCCATTCACTTCTCCTTCCAGGCAACCTGCTTCCTGCTGGGTCAGGAGTAGCCAGAGCTCTTCTGGATTCAGGCCACAGGAAAGTCAGGCATGGACATGATCCAGCTGTGGCTGCTCCTAAGCAGACATAGAGTGAAAGGTGGGGGTACACAGCCATGGCTTCTGTCAGCAGTGGCTCAACCCCAAAGCTTCTGTGTGCCATGCTGAGGGTTCACTAAGGGGTTCTGAATTTCCTAAAAAACAGTGTGGAGCTGGTGGGGATGTTATGGGTAACCAGCTCAGGGCTATTGTGGAAACAATCAGTGAGGCCAAATGGAGATAGGAGAGTGCCAGGCAAAGTGTACACATGTGACAAGGAGCATTTCAAGTGACACAGCTCTGAGTATAGTGGAGCCTTATCTTTAAGTCTTCTTCCTGGGCACTGAACCACTAGGGATGGACTGGAGAAAGACTGAAATTTCCAGTATCCTGTCCACCTTGAATCTAGTGGGACTGTCCAAGCCTCACAGAATGTCTATAGTCTGGCCCTCACTCTGTTCCCCGAGTGCTGGGTCTCACAGCTGGTGTGGAGCTGTCCTGCTCCCCAGATCTCTGCTGGACTCTGAAGGGGTTGCACAGGAACTTTCCCCTGGGCGCAGCCTTCAGAACACCTCAACTTGTACAGGAAGCTGATGGTACCTCTGAGAGATGGCACAAGTGCTGGCTCCTACTTTTTCCGTGCAGGTCAAGCTGGGAGTGAGTGGTTTGGGCGGTGAAAGGTGCGTCCCTTCCCTTCACTTCCCCTTGGTTCCCCATGTCTTCCAATGGACTGGGACAATTTGCTTCAGTGTCCTACCTGTCCATCTAGTATCCACTATCCCCTAAAGCAACAGGAGTGAAGACAAAGTACAGCTCTCTCCCCTGCTCGTGCCACTCTAGAAGCTGCTGCTGACTTTTTTGAAGAAGGGAGGAAGCATGTTAGTTTGGTTAAGACCAGGGAGGGAGAGATCTGGGCTCATTCATAGTAACCCTAAGCCTCACTGCAAGCATTCCAGGGGATTGCCTGGTTTCTGTCCTGCTCTTCGTTGGTACACGGCCGTAGGTGCTATAGAAGCAGCTCTGCCCAGCTCTTCTCAGATTAGAATGCAAGTGCTGTCCTGTGTTGACTCCGTGTGCTGTAGCACAGGCTCTGTTCACATGAACATTGGCTTTGGTATTTCTGTCAAGTAACATTTGACTTATTCCTGTGGTAGTGTGGACCTCAAAAGTCTCACAATGTGTTCAGGATTGTCACACAGAATAGAGTGCACAGACCAATCATTTTGAAATAAAGGCAATAAACATCAAGAGCTTTTAGCACTGAAGAACTCCAGAGACCTTCAGCCAGCAAAGAACAGTGGCAGTGACCAGCACCTGGGAGCTGATGTAGTGTCTGGCATAAGATAGGGCTGGACGCTCTGCTGTGATCTGTGCCATTCACAGACTTCAGGGGAGGAGAGCAAGTCAACAAGAAGCTAAGACCTTTTGTGAGTGCCATGGGCTGGCTGACTGGGGGAGAGCCAGATGCCAGCCCCTTTCGAGAAGCAGGCAGGGAGACAAGAAGAGCCAACTTTCTCCCCACTCCCTGCCAAAGCGACTGACTGATCTGGAGAAACACAGGCTGTGATGATAGCTATTGAGGTAAAATACAACTTAATGCTTGTAGTGTTTAGTGTTTCACTGACTTTGAAGGCCTAAAGTCTGATCATCTATGTAGAGGATAACAGTACGCAACATAGCAACTATGGGGGATCTCCTTCTGAAGGCAGTAGCCTATTATCTTGTTTTAACCTCCTGTATCATTCTCATTGTTTTGTTTGGTTGGGTTTCATTCTATTGGAAAGCTACTGGAAGTACATTTTGTGATTTTAGAAAATGCAGTCTGGGTTGATTGGCAACTCCTTCAGGGTGTTCCCTGACCCTTTAGCTCCAGCTACCATTGTTAGAAATGGACTAGAATGTGGGCTGCTTCTGTGTCAGGAATGGCCATAGCTGTCTTGGCACCCCCATTCCCAGACCAGAGGTATACAACACCTGGATTGCAAATCTAGATGAAGGTTTTGGCTTTTCCCCTTAATCCCTGACCTCCATGGCTGGAAGAGAATGGACCATGGGCAGCACACAGAAGAAGGGTAATGGGATTTCATGAGACTTGAGAAAGTGAAAGACTAACAAAGAGAAGTGTGATATGGGCAGAAAAAGGACGGACTCCAAAAGATTAAAAAAAAAGCACTTTATTAGCTGAGCTCAGTGGTAACACTGTCCCAGAAAAGCAGCCAGGGAAGTGTGCACCTGAGCCAGGGGCTGCAGGGAGTTTGAGGTCAGGGTCTTAGGTTCGGTTTGTCCCCATAAAAGGAGCCAAGGAGGTGGAACAAGCAGTTTTAGGAACCAGGGAGGTAGAGAGGGGTTCTATGGTGGGTATGTTACGAGGTTGCAACTTAACTGGTAATTACACAAGTTGTATAGGAGGAGAACAAGTTATAATAAGAATAGCACATTGTGGGTTTTTGAACTTATAAAAAAGTGCACAGAGAGGCAGTATGAAACCAGAGGGTCTGAGACTGGCCTAACATCAGTGCGGAAAGAACTAGCCCCACATAGATCTTTATCCTGTTCTCAAGGCCTCAGCTCACTTCTCAAAACAATGAAAGGATACCGCTCTGCTGATTTGGGAGGCTATAAGCAAAATGTACCTGGGATCTGAGGTGTCCCTACACAAGGCTATCTGACTTCCCTTTCTATTCTTAATCATTCTTCTTTTTTTTCTACAGTAGTGGGTAAGGCATTGAGCTATGTATTGAGGTTGTAAAAAAAATTTTTTTTGGATATACAATCTCCATAAATTGCCCAAGCTTTGCTCCAATTTATAATGTTCCTGCATCCATCTCCCAAAATACTGGGATTAAAAATACCCACCACTTCTCAGGATACCTTTATTGTCACAGATAGTAGTAGAGGTGGAGTCCCTAGGCCAGGGAGAAGGGAAGGAGGGAGACAGGGAGGGTGGCAGATTCTGGTCACCACAACTTTTCTCATTTTCTTTCCCTGTCTTTTTATCATTCAACCCACATGTATAGTGGTCCGGGGCTTTTGGAGGTAGGAGCCCCTACCCACCAGCTTAGAACAGCTTCTAAAGTTCATACTTAGGGCCCAACACTTTGGAGTCTAGGCTGGATGTAGCCAAGAAGAGCCCCTTTTTTCCCATATAAAGCCAGAAAATCCTCAGTCCAGCTTTAGGACTGGCTTCCGGAACAGTTCCAGTCTTCATGGGCAAGTCATATGAGGCTGACATTGCACAGGGCCGGGGTCCACCGTTGCTTCCCCATGATGCCGGGCAGGAGACAAGAAGAGCCAGTGTTCACCGCCTCCCTCGTAAGTGACCAGCTGATCTGGAGAAGCACAGGCTGCCGTGATAGCTACTGAGGTAAAATACAACTTAATTCTTGTAGGGCTTCCAAAACTAAGGAAGCAGCCTCCTCCAGGGACAAGACTGAGATCAGAGATCTCAGGGTCAATCCTGACTCCAGGCTTGAGCCTCTGGGCTCTATAGCCCAAGGGTGTGACCAGAGAAAGTAGGTTGTCTATAAGCCACCGAGTGTCTTTCCACAAGGGCAGGCTGATTGATCCTTTGAAAAACCAAATCCTGGAATCCTGTAACCTAAGGTAACTGGTTCACACAGCAGCAGAGTGCAGCCTACTGCTCCCTGGTTGATGTGTCCCCTGCATATCCCCCTACCAGGCTCCAAGGGGAATTGTGACTGCAGCTTTAGCACTAAGCTTTGTTGGGCAGCCACATTGATGGCCCCTGTGCCTGATTCTGTGTCTCTGATTGCCAGGCTCATAAGAGAGGATAAGACTCGGCAGATACCATGCTGTCCTGTCTGCTTCTGCAGAAATGCACACAGTGTGCTAGAGGAAGCGGCTCAAGGCATCTTGGCCTGCTCAGCTCCTGGCCTGGGGTTACTATGAGGGCCATTATCTGAGCTCAGATATCTCAAGAAGTCCTGTCCCTTTCCTCTCTGTCCAGAATTTACACTGTGAGCTCCCTTCCTTCCTTGAATTTTTAAAAAAATCAAGAACCTCCACAGGGTCTGTTAGGGTCTGTTGTTTTCTTTCTTTCTTTCTTTCTTTCTTTCTTTCTTTCTTTCTTTCTTTCTTTCTTTCTTTCTTCTTTCATCTATGATTCATTCTGCGATTTATTAGGTTTTCTTTTTTTTTGTTTTGTTCTTTTAAACAAGTTCTTGCTATATGCATCAGGCTGGCACTGAAATGACTTCATAGCCCTGGGTGACCTTGAACCACTGGTGATCCTCATGCCTTGACTGGAATTGCAGGCATGCACCACCATGCTTGGGATGTTCTGTACTTCCTCTCAGTACAGGAAAGTGCTTGGCTACATCAAACCCACCCTTGTCTGACAGGCTCACAGGTGACAGCTTGTCTAGCCTTAATAGGGACCCCCAGATGGGATCACTGAGGTCAAGGAAAGGGGCCCAGTGAGCCCAGAAGGACTTTTTGTCCCTCTAGAATGTGATGCTCCAGCTATGTCTCCATCTCCTGCTGCCTTCCCTGCTCTCAGACTTGCACAATCTTGCCAGAGGTGAAAAAGAGCAGATATCTTGACACATTTTTTGAAGGAATTTTTCCTGGGTTTATCAAAGGATCGATCAGCCCACACTTGCAAAATGACACCCGGTGGATTATAAATAGCTCCTCTGAGGAGGCCACTGCAGGCTGTCTCAGAAGCTCTCCTGAAGACATGGCCCTGGTTCTTCTGTGTGTGGGACTCACTCTTTTGGGGACTCTACAGATCCAAGTCCAGGCTCAGCCTCAGATCCCAGTCCTAGTGCCAGTTCTAAGCACACTGCCCTTGCAAGCCGACTTCAAAGATGACCAGGTAAGGATTCCTCTAGTGCAGTTGTAGGATTGTTTCTGGGACAGGGACAGTGGCACCGAAGGGATGGCTCTGGGGCCACCCTTGTGCTCTGCCCTGCCATCATCCCCTTGCAGTTCCAGGGGAAGTGGTACATCATAGGCCTGGCGGGGAACTCAGTTTCAAAAGGAAGTGGGAAAACTCAATACATGTACAGCGACTCCTACAACCTGAATGATGACCACAGCTACAATGTCACAACCAGAGCACTCAGGTGAAGCAAATACTTTCTGACCTTTTGAGAGGCAGAACAATGTCACAGCCAATGGGCCACCAAAGCTGAGGTTTACTGTCATTCATCTCGCTACTCTGCAAGGAACCAGTCTTCCATACTTCCTCTATCTTTTCCTCTTATTCCTTTGTTGTCTTCTTCTATTTCTCCTTTCTCCCTCTTTTCTTTCCTCCCTCTATCCACAGTCATGAGTGACTCCAATGTAGACACAGTCAGTAGAAACAAGACAGAGATAAGGCTTCTGGCAGGGGAGGAGGGACAGCCTGGGATGGGGTGGATGCGGCCTCAGAATTATGCAGTGGACCTTGAGCCACTTTGCCCCGCCCAAGGTGCCGAGTCTGTGCCATCTCCCTGCTTACCATGCTCTCATCTCTCCTCTCACAGGAGCCTGGAATGTGTACAGTTGGTCAAAACCTTTGTCCCATATGTTGAGCATGGCCAGTTTGTCATGCACAATACGACACGTGAGTCTTGAGTACTGGTCCCTTGGGGTGGGATCTGGGGGATGGAGACCTCCTGGAAACACAGGCCTCCCAACCCTTGCACACTGATGCTGTGCTGTGGGAAAAACCTGCTGACTGGTTGGGCAAGAAGGGGACAGTTCTTTCCTTATGGACAGAGCCTGCAGTGAGATTGCCATCTCACTGCAGGCTCACCAGGATTAGACAACTATATCCTGAGAGTGACAGCCACTGACTACAATCAGTTTGCTGTGATCTACATCGAGAATACATTCAAAAACACCGTGTTCTTCCAGATCAAACTCGCAGGTGTGTGTTGATTCCATCCTCTCAGCTATCTGGCCTCTGGTTTAATTAAGTGAGACACTCCCTTTCTCCACCATCCCCCAAATTCTCCACTTCAGGAAGGAGGTCTTTACACTCTTCCTCCATGGGAAAGGAGTATAATGCTTCATTGACTCTTTCAAAAATGTCAGTGGAATGAGCCAGGAGTAGTGGCTCACAGCTGGTACCCCAGCTCTCAGGAAAGTGAAGCAGGAGGATTGAGAATTTAAAGCCATCATGAAGTGCACAGAGAAAACCTGCCCTAAAATGAAAATCTGTGTGAAAACATGTAAAAACAAACCAAAAGAAACCCCAAGAGAAAACAAAACAGAAAATAAATATGCTATGTCTTTGGCCACTCACAGGGAGAACTAAGGAGCTGAGCTCTGAACTGAAGAAACGGTTTGTTGAATTTTCGCAGTCTCTGGGTCTCAGTGACACAAACATCATCTTCCTTAATGGCATAGGTAAGAGCAGCTGGGGAGAGGCAAAAGGGTGTGGTCTGTCCAAGCTTGATGCTGCCCCAGCAGGGAAATGGGAGAGGAGAGACTCAATCCCCTGTTCCAGTCTCTGGAGAGATACGTGGCTCCCACCCAAGCATCTGTGGGCCTTTAAAAATCTTGGTCTCAAGTTTTCCCCATGACAGTGAAAGCAAGGGCTTTCCAAATGACAATTTCAGGCCCAGTTCCAAGTTTTCCCAGTATTAGTGCCCTGGGCCACCTCTTCTCCATACTTTGGGCCTTATTATCCAAGGCTACCTCTTCCATACCTCAGGACTTGCAGTACCAGGCCACTTCATCTTTCCCTGGGGCTTGCTCAATCCTGATATGGGACATGCCCTTACTTTCAGGTGGCCTGGCATGAACTTTGTTGTTCCAATCTGGTCAGTCAAGGGCCTGGCTGAGGAGCTTGTAGGGCTCAAGAGGGAAATAGGACTTGGTGCCTGAATAGCTGTTAATTCCAGGCCCTGTGGCATGCCTGTTCTGAGGTGCTGAATTACAGGAACCCTCTTATCTTCTACAGATAGGCGAGGGTGTGCCTGGGACCACCCTAGCAGTGCCAGGGTCATAGCAGCCAGGGCTTGGGAGTGGGTATACTCGCGCGCACACACACACACACACACACACACACACACACACACACACACACTCCTTTAGCGGCTTTGTTGTTTTTTTCTCCCCACAGAGGAGTGTATCGATGACTGAATGGCAGTGAGTATGGCTGGGCAGGGGCTGATGGGAAGCCAGGGAGAGGTGGGCTGAAGGTCTCAGGGCTGCCTGTTTTTCTCTCTCCTCACCCTAAATCCCAGATGTCTGTACTTTGCTATCCCCTCTCAGGTGCTTCCTTACTCCACCCTTTGTTCTCATTACTTCCACGCAAGGTGCCATCTGTCTCCCACAAGAGCCACCATGTCAATGAGAGAGCTGGAAGATCTTCTTAAGGTGCAGTGCTGCCTGTCAAGGCAGTACAAAAGCCACTGCTGGTTGAGCCCTTTTCTGTGCTAAATAAACACATGCACCAAACCTCCAACTGTTTGATCCTTGACCCTGGACAATGAGGAAAGGGAAGTCTCACACTAGCACCATCCAGGACTTGGTGTTCCTAGAACCCAGCCTGATATTAGGGTGCAGAGAGAAGCCACAGGGCAAAGAAGACTCCAGGCTACACTCATACCACGATTGCCATTGGCTGCATGGAGACTATGCTGGGTGGCAGAAGGATGCCACACTCACTTCTGCTTAAATGGTTATTCCTAATCCTGGCACCAGGGTCATCTCCAGAGCAGCCTTTAAAGTGCACTGTCACAGAGGAGTGGACTGTCCAACAGAGATGCTTATGAACCCAAAATTGATGCCAGCATTTGGCTGCCTGAAGTAGGTTCCACAGCAGAGTCTTCATCAGGGCTGAGGAGCAGGAGGCAGTGGAGGGGATAGAAGAGTAAGCTACTTCCAGGTCCTTAGCACCCTTTGGATGCTGGAAGATGGTGACCAAGATGGGAAGGTGCATGGCGTATGGGGCAGATGTGCAGGCTTAATATAGGCAGAAGATAAGCAAGGGTGGGCTGTGACCATCTACTGACACAGACATATCAGCCTGGTTTCCCTTCTCCTTATACCTCTGTGGGGACAATGCTCATGTGGACCCTATTCAGACTGAAGCCTGAATTGTGATGAGATCAAGACCACATGTATTCACTCTGAAACCAGGGAAGAGTCAGGAGATGTGATGGAAGAGGCTTCTGCGAATCCAGGAATCTAGGCGGCTGGACAAAGAGTCACATGGCTGGGCCTTTGTGTGGCCTGACAGCAGTAGCCTCTCCAGGTGTGCACAACACTCAGGATCCCTGTGACTTCTTCTCCCTTTCAGAAACATCAGCCTGAGTGAGTGTAACTATGAAGGAAACCAGACACACATCCCTGAGGGACTATGAAGGGGATAGTATGTCCTGAATCCAGTTGGACCATCATGTGAGCAGGGCTCCATCCTGAGGGCACTGTTTTTCAGAGTGCAGGACATATGAGAATCCCCTCTTAGGGTTTAGGTCTCCCACAGAACCATATGGCACATAGATGCAAAATAAAGACAAAGAAGAAAAGTTCTGCTATTGAAGAGATGACTAGAGTTTTCTATGAGTTAAAAGCCCATGAATCCAAACTCATGGGTTTTATTGGTTTCAATCAGGGCAGGTGGGGGTAGTAGCAGAGTGCTAGGGAAAAGAAATTTTGCAGGCATTGGCTGTAATGAGAAACAGCAATTGTGTACCAGGCACATAGGCATCCAATGAACAATAGGATGGATGGCTTGATGTATGCAAGGTTGGCACCTTCACTGCCAGAAAGGTATAATGCTTTCTGATTCTCATGGCCTCAGTTGAGATGCTACCTTATTTCTTAGCCCTGGAACCTCATAACCTCCTGCTTGAGCCTGCATTCTAGCCATAGGAGGGGGATGGAATTCTCATCTATGTGCTTTACTGGGACAAGTTGGTGTCTCTACTGGACTCAATCACATTCTTTTAGCTAATTAAGGGAATGTCTGTTCCAATATAGCCAGCTTTGCATATCTCGGAGCAAAAGCTCCAGCTCCATGTGGAGTGCTAGGCCAACTCTGAGCACATATGAGGGCTCAGTCTGAGAGGGGGTTCACAGATGACCTGTGAGGGTCCTGTGTCTGCTCTTTTTTATATATGGTTTTATTTTATTTTAAAAAGAATATAACCCCCCAAAACAAAACTCAATAAAGCCAATCAAAGCAAATCAGTCAAAGTAGTATAGAACTTCAAAACAGGATAATAGGAAATAAACAATAGCTACCATAATGTATCTTGCTATCTTCACAATAGTTGTCTATACCATCAGACATAGCAAAATAACAAAACAAAAAAATAAAACCAAACCGAACAATGAAAATAACATGGGACTTCAAAACAAGGCAATAGGAAATTAACTATGGTCACCATCTTCCCTTTTTAAATTTTTCCTCCTCTATCACTTTCACAATATCTGTTTTGCATCCCACAAACTCCTTCAGTGTTTTATACTAGGAAACAATACAATGTTCACCCATGTGAGTCCAAAGCATTTCACCCATCAGCATGGTCTCAAGCTGCATCCATTTATTTATAAATATCTCAATGTGATCATTCTTTATCGCTGAGTAGTACTCCATTGTATAAAAATACCACACTTTTTTATCCATTCCTCAGTTGATGGACACTTACGTTGTTCCCAAGGTCTGGTTATTACAAATTGTGCTGCTCTAAACATGGGTGCACATATATCACTGTGGTATGACGCTTTCAGTTCTTCTGGAAATATGCCTAGAAGTGGAATAGCTGGAACAAATGGGACTTCCAATCCCAGCTTTCTGAGAAATCTCCAGACTGACCTCCACAGTGATTACACCATTCTGCACTCCCACCAACAGTGCAGGAGAGTTCCTTTTTCCCCACAGCCTTTCCAGAATTTATTGTTGATAGTTTTCTTTATCTGGCCATTCTTTTTGGAATAAGATGGAATCTCAGTGTTGCTTTAATCTGCATTTCTCTAAGGACTAATGATGCTGAACATTGTTTCATATATTTATTTCCCATTTGTATTTCTTCATCTCAGAAGTATGCATTCATCTCAAATGCCCAGTTTTGAGTTGAGTCTTTGAATTTCAGGAGTCTGATTTTTATATGTTCTAAACAGAAGTTCTTTGTCTGAGGGACAGTTCACTAAGATTTTTTTTCCCAGTTTGTGGGTTTTCTTTTCACTATGCTGGAGGTTTCTTTTGAGATGCAAAAACTTTAATAAGATGTGATCCCAGTTATCGATTCTGGGAAACATTTTCCATGTGGTTTGATTCTTGTTCAAGATTTTTACTTACTTTTTATTCCAGAAGATTAAGTGTTCCTGTTTTAACATTTAGATCTTTGATCCATTTAGACTTTACTTTAGTACATGATGATAAGCATGGGCCTAGTTTTATTTTTCAGCATATGGGGAGCCAATTTTTTCAGCTCTATTTATTAAAGAGACTGTATTTAGTCTAGTGGATATTTTTGGCCCCTTTATAAAAGATAAAGTGGTTGAGTGTGTTTGTAGTTGTAGCTGTATCTTCTAATCCATTCCATTGATCTTCATGTCTGTTTTTATTTTAGTACCATGTTGATTTTATTACAGTAGCTTTGTAGTATAACTTTAAGTCAAGGATTGTGATGCCTCCTGCCTTGCCTTTGGTGCTTAGAATTGCCTTTGCTATTCTGAGTCTCCTTTGGTTCCAGATGAATTTTAGGAGTGATTTCTTTTGATCTCTGAGGTATCCTAGGGTATTTTCATTGGAATTGCCTTAAATACATATAATTTTTGGGAAAATGGCCATTTTTACAATATTTATTCTTCATGTCCATGAAAAAGAGATATCTTTCTGTTTTCTGAGATCCTCTTTGATTTCTTTTTTCAGGGTATTATAATTTTCCCTAAATAGATTTTTTTATTTCTTTCATTAGTTTGCTTCCTGAGTATTTCAGTTTTCTGGATGCTATTGTGAAGGGTGTTGCTTCTCTTATTTCTCTCTTAGTGATTTTGTTGTTAGTGTATAGAAATGCTATTGATTTTTGAGTGTGACTTTGTATCCAACTACATTACTGAATCTATTTATTATATGTAGGAGTCTTTCAATGGAGTTTTGGGGGTCTTTTATGTAGAGTATGATCTGCAAATAATAATAATTTAGCTTCTTCTATTCCTATTCTTACTCCTTTTATTCCTCTCTCTTGTCTAATTGCTCTGGCTAGCCACTCATTTTACAGTTTTAAAGACGCCTTTTTTCACCGTTCCCCTACACCTTGATTGTCAGGATTTCTTTGCATTTACGTGGAGTGATCCAGACACTCTCAAATCTCAACAACTTACTTCGGTGGTGCTCCCCCAAGGGTTCAGGGGCAGTCCCCACTTCTTTAGCCGAGCTCTCACTGCTGACCTCACAGTACTTGACCGCACACCTAGTACTCTCCTTCAATACATAGCTGATCTTCTCTCATGTTCTCCATCCCATATGCTAGCCAATATAGCATTCAGCTAACCTCCTTAATTTTCTTGCTAGTTGTGGATACAGGGTCTGTCTTACTAAAGCCCAGATAGCTTCCCCAAAAGTCAAATATCTAGGTCTCTTCTCACTCCTGCCACTCATTCCATTACCCCAGATCATAAGGCTATTCTTTAAAATCTCCAGGTGCCCACAACTGAACAATAGGTTACATCTTTTCTAGGTTTAGCTAATTTCTCTCGTCTCTGGATTTCTAACTTTTCAGCTCTAGCGCAACCCCTCTACAAGGCCTCCAACGGTCCCTTATGAGAAGCCCTGGACTCCACTATGCCCATACATGCCTCCTTTCGTAAATTAAAAGAGGATCTCCTAAGGGCTCCAGCCCTTAACCTTTCTGACTCCACCCAAGCTTTCACTCTATATACTACCTCTCAGGACCACAATACTGTAGGTGTACTAGGACACAAGAATGGACCTTCTTTTCAAGCAGTAGCCTACTTGTCAAAACAGTTAGACAACGCAGTAAAACGATGGGCTCCTTGTCTCTGAGCTCTTGCAGCTACAGCCCTACTGAAACAGGAAGCTAAGAAGTTTACATTAGGGCAGCCTATTACAGTAGTCTCACCTCATCACCTAAATGAGCTCATCTCATTTAGCTCAGTGAGCTCTAATGACCCCTTCTCACCTTCAACAGGTACATCTAGCCTCTCTCAGGACTCTTGTATCTCTATTGCAACTAGTGGTCCTCTTAATGTGTCAACTTTACTCCCCACCTCAGAGGGTCCTTCTCACCATGACTATATTGAGGTCTTACAGATGATTCCCACCCCTTTCCCTCACAATGGTAGCACACCTCTCTCTTTAGCCTTTGACACATGGTTCATAGATGGCAGTTCAATAAATACAGACAGCCAAAGAAGGCAGGATATGCAATAGTTAACCAGTCAAAAGTTATAGTGGCAAATCCACTGCCACCTAGGACCTCTTCCCAGAGGACAGAACTTATTGCCCTCACAAGGGCTCTTAAAATAGCAAAAGACAAAGTCATAAATACATACACTGATTCAAAGTATACATTTAGCATTTTACACTCTCATGCCTCTATCTGGCAAGAATGGGGTTTTATTAACTCTCAGGGAACCCCATCATTAATGTGCCTCTTATCCTTAAACTCTTAAGAGGCAGCACTACTCCCAAATCAGGCACCAGTTGTAGGGGACACCAGAATTCTACAGATCCTATTGCTCAAGGCAATGCCTTTGCAGATTCACAAGCAAAGTTAGATGTACAAAAGCTATATTCTTCTCATCTTCTCCCATCTATCAAATAGTCTACCTCAGCATAATTGTTCACCAGAGCCACGACAGTTACTTCATAAAGCAGGTTACACACAAAACACTCAGAGATGGATTTTCCAGGGATCAAAACTTGTTTTCCCAGGTCAGCAGGCCTTAGACATCATCATTGACACAACTGTTTCCATATAGGATCACACGCCTTATACAAACTCCTAGCCCCAGTAGTCACACACCCTTCTCTAGAGGCTATCATTCTTTAGATTACTCACACATGTCATCTCTGTGCTAGGACCTCTCCTCAGGGACATATATCACCCCCTTCCTTTCCTACTCATAACTTTCAAGGACACACCCCTAGTCAGGACTTGCAGGTAGATTTTACACATATGCCCCACCACAAAACTCTCAAATATCTTCTCACTTTTGTTTGTACTTTTTCAGGATGGATAGAAGCCTCTCCCACAATCAGGGAGACCACTGATGTAGATAGTAAAGTCCTGTTACAGGAAATCATCCCAAGGTTTGGTCTACCTCAGAGTATTCAGTCAGATAATGGTCCAGTCTTTATATCTCAGATCACTCAACAAGTGTCCTCAAGCTCACACATCACCTGACTCCTACACATTCCATACCATCCACAATCCTAAGGAAAATTAGAAAAGGCAAATTGCCTCATAAAAACACACCTTACAAAGCTCATTTTAAAACGACACCAACCTTGGCCTCAACTTCTGCCCTTAGCCTAGCCAAGCTCAGGGCACTTCCCCGGACTACATTTTTAAGTCTTTTGGAACTTATGTATGGCAGATCATTCTTACTTCACAATCTTCCTACTCCCAGAAGTCTCCCTCTTCTTGCTGACTATATTCCAGTCTTCTCCGTCCTCTGACACCTGTTACGACAACATCCTGATCTCTGCCTTCCTCAACCCTCTGTAGGGGCCAAACCATATCCTCCCATATCCCCAAGAAATCTAATTTATCTCAAATGTTCTAAATCCACAGGACTATACTCAAAGTGGAGTGGCCCCTACTTGATCTTCTTGGCAACCCCTACAGTGATCAAAGTTGCTGGACTCCCATCCTGGTTTCACATCAATCAGGCTAAGTGGTACCCTCTCAGCCCTAAATCTAACCATCCTGAGTGGTCATCTCATCTGTCACACAGCCATCTCTGTTTCATGAAGGCCTCACAGTCACAACTCTCAGGCTAAGTCATGTTTTGTTATCCAATTTCGTTCATAATTTCTTACATTCTATTAATTATCCTTTTTACAGGCAGGACTCTTCACAGTCTTTCCTAAAGACTCCCACATCATGCGTAAGAGCATTCTCATGTTGTTCTACATGACAACTGTCTTAGTTCTCTCTACCCTCAGCTGTTTGGTCAAACATGAGATCTCTGAAGGCCTAGGGCTCTTACCTTCCTTATAGTGACACAGTCACAGCCATCCCCACTTCTCTTATTCTTCCCAGCTCAACACCTTGACCAGAGACAAGTCCTAACTGCCTACCCTCTTAACTTTTACCCTTTCAGAGGGGGAAATAATCACCTCTCACAACTTCACTCCTCCTAACTCCACACTTATTTTTCAGAATTCTGCCTCACTGTGGTAATCATTCTATCTCACCATGGTAATGATTCTACATATCTAAATCAAAGGTACCTTTCCTTCTACCTCTACCCACCTGGGTCCTTATATATGATAGTGGCCTGCCTTCTCATAGCACCTTGTCTCTTTATTTTTCCAGTCTAACGTGCAGGCATTCACCAATGATAAAATTGTCCTGGCTAAAAAGCTGGCACCAGCTTCTGCATGGGCATCAACCATCATCTTGTCAACCTTCCTAAGCCCCAATATGGTGCCCCCTTTCAGCAGAAAGTAGTAAGTCAGAAAAAACTTCGCCCTTTTCTTAACAATAAAAAGACAGGAATGAAAGGATTTTGCCTTAGATAGGACATTACAGAATGGGAGGCAGGACCAAGGGACATTTACCTTGAGGTCATTTTCTCTGCCCCTAGGCAATGTAGCTGTGGCACAAATGAATTCCAATCCACTGCTTGCGGATCAGCGATGTCCCATTTAAGCACCAGACCAAAACTATATGTATGCCCCCCACACCATGTGTCTCGCAGAGAAAGGCAGACCCCCAGGGGTCCTGTGGTTCTCTCTGCATTCTTAGAATGAATGCCACTTTTATTTTATATTCTCTCCCTCTAACTGCACTGAAAATCCTATCAGCTAGTATTTCCAGCACTATGTTGTACAAGAGTGGTGATAATGGACATCCTTATTTTGTGCCTGATTTTAGGGTAAAGGCTTTCAGTTTTTGGCCATTTAATATGATGCTGGCTGTTGGTTTGTCATAGATAGCCTTTATCATATTGAGGTAAAGACCATCTATTCCAATTTTCTGTAAGGTTCTTATCATGAATAAGTGTTGGACCTTACCAAAAGCTTTTTCTGCATCTGTAGAAATGTTCATGTGATTCTTATTTTTGGTGTTATTGATATAGTGGATTACCTTTATTGATTTATGTATGCTGAACCATCCCTGTATTCCTGGGATGAATTCCACTTGGTCATTGTGTATAATCTCCTTGATGATTTGCTGCATTCTGTGTGCCAATATTTTATTGAGAATTTTTGCATCTATGTCCATTATGGTGATTGGCCTGTAGTTCTCATTTTTAGTTGGGTCTTTCTCAGGTTTTGGGTTCTAGAGTAATATTTGCTTCCAGGAATGACATAGGAAGAATTAATTCCCTGTCAATTTCATTTAAGTGTTTGAGGAGTGATGGCACTAAGTCTTCTTTGAATTTCTTGTAGAACTCAGCTGTGAATCTGTCTGGGCCTGGGCTCGTCTTTGTTGGTAAGGATTTATTACATTTTTAATTTCATTAATAGAAATTGGGTCATTTAGCAGTTTTACATCTTCTTAACACAGCTTTGGTACTTCATATATTTATAGGAATCTGCCCATTTTTTCTGTTTTATTGAACCTATGAGAATAAAGTTTTTGAAATAGGTGCTGATGGTCTTCTGTGTTTCCACAGAGTCTGTAGTGAGTGAGTTCACCATTTTATTTCTTATTGCATGAGTTTGAGTTTTTTCTTTCCTTTTTAAAATAAGGTTGGCTAGGGGCTTATCAATTTTATCTATTCTTTCAAAGAACCAACTCTTTGATTCATTGATTCTTTGGATTGTTTTCTTAGTCTCTATTGCATTGATTTCCACTGTGATATTTATAATTTCCTCCCTTCTTTTGGCTTTGGGCTTGACTTGCTCTTTTTTTTCCAGATGTTTGAGGTATAGCATCAGGTTGTTTATTTGTGTTCGTTCTGTTTTCCTAATGTGGGAATTCACCACCATAAATTTTCCTCTGAGGACTTCTTTCATTGCATCCCACAGATTCGTGTTAGCTGTATTTGTATTTTGATTTCCTTGTAGATATTGTTTAATTTCTTCTTTAATTTTCTCTGTGACCACTGATTGCTCAGGAGTGTGTTATTCAGTTTCCATGTGTTTGTGGGTTTTTTGCAGTTTCTTTTATCATTAATTTCTAGTTTCATTGTCTATGATCTGATAAGATGCATGGGATAATTTTGATTCTTTTGCATTTTACTTACATATGTTCTGTGGGCTATTATGTGATCTATTTTAGAGAATATTCTATGCACTGCTGAGAAGAATGTATATTGTAGTGTTGTTGGGTGGAACACTCTGTATACAACTATGAAGTCCATTTTTTCATAGGTGTGATTCAGTTCTGTTACTTGTTCACTGATTTTCTGTCTGGTTGATCTGTCCCTTTGTGTTAATGGCATGTTCAGGTCTCCTGTTATAATGTGTTATTGCTTATTTGATTTTTCATTTCTGTTAATAATTGTTTTGTGTAGCTGAGTACTCCCAAATTTGGTGCATATATAATATTGCCATCTCTTCTTCTTGAAGTTTTCTCCTAACTAGTATTTAGTGACCTTCCTTATTTATTCAGATCATTCTTGATTTGAAGTTCACATTGTCTTCAAACAGAATAGCTACCCTTGCTTTTTTTGGGTTCCAGTTGCATGAAGTATTGCTTTCCATCCTTTGACTTTCAGTGTATGGCTTTCCCTTTGGATTAGATGGGTTTCTTGTATACAGAATATGGTTGGATGTTGTTTCTTGATCCATTCTCCCAGTCTGTTTCTTTTGATTGGTGAATTGAGACCATGTACATTAATGGTTATAACTGATATATATTGGTTTACTTTTGACATGTTATCTTTCTGCTGTTGTTTCTTTATCTTTTCACCCTGTTTAACTGTCTTTCTTGCTTAGTGGTTTTTTTCATATGTCTATCTAGAATGTCTTTCAGTATTCTTTGCAGGGTTGGTTTGGTGATCATGAAATTCTTGAGCTGTTCTTTGTCATAGAAGTATCTTCTTTCTCCATCCATTTTGAAGGACAGTTTTGCAGGGTGCATCAGTCTGGGTTGGAATTCATTTCCTTGAAGATGTGAAATATTTCACTCCATGCTGTTCTTGACTTCATTGTTTGTGTTGAGAAGTCGGATGTGATTCTAAATGGCTTTCCTTTATTGATAATCTGTCTTTTTCTCTCTAAAAGCATTTAATATTCTGTTCTTATGTTGGATTTCTGGGATGTTGATTATTATATGTCTGGGTGTCATTTTATTTTGGTTACGGCTATTTGGAGTTCTATATGCTTCACTAATCTGTATGTCAGTTTCCATTCTCATGTTTGGGAAATTTTCAGCTATTCCTTCTGTAAATAACCTTTTGATATCATTTGTGTTGTCCCCCCTTTTTTTTCATTTATGCCTATCAATCTTACATTGTTTTTCTTTGCCTTATCTTGCAGCTTTTGAATTGTTATTTCCTGATTCCTTGTTATTTTTAAAAGGTCATTTCTTTGCTATTCACTAGCTGCAATCTTGTCTTGGAGGTCTGAAAATCTGTGTTCACATTCTTTGAGGTGGTTTTGCCAATTTTCAACGCAATATTTGATTTCCTGTGTATCTCTTTGAATCTGCTTCATGCATTCTCTTTATTTCTAATGTCATTTGTTCAGGGTTTCCACCTTTTTGTTTTGTTCCTCTAATTTTAACTGTGTGTTTTTTTAGATATGTTCAGCATTTCTTTCATTATATTTATTATTTCTTCTTTTACCTTACCTGGGAGATTATTTCTGATTTGAGCTCTTTTATAGCTTCCCAGAGTTGTTTCTTTACTTCTGTTAATATCATTTCTGGAATTTCAGGTGTATAAGATATTTTCTTCTATGTGCATTGTTATTAGGCTTACTTGGAATGATGGGCTTGTGTTTTGAGAGGGTGTTTTGGTGTTTCATTTTGTCATTTTACTATATTTCTGGGTTTCAAGTGATGTTCCAAAGCTTCTCATGGGTGTACTGAAAATCACTCTGCACACCCACAGCTCTCCAGGACTGATTGGAAGTCACTAGGCATGGCCCAGCCAGGCCCACAAGGATCTCCCATATATCCTCTGGTGGTCTAGGATGCTGGGTAGCACCCTAAATCCTGGGAACAATGGTCCAAAGCTTCCCCTGAGTGAGTGCAGGTGAGCTTGAAATCCCCTCACGTTCCTTCAGCTTCCAGGGCTCAACCTATTATTTCTGTAAATAGTCTCTTTGTTTCATCTGTGTTGACCCCTGCTTTTTTTTTTTACTGACACATACCATTCTTAAATTATCTTTCTTTGCACCATCTTGCAGCTGTTGAATTGTTACTTTCTGGTTCCTTGTTATTTTTAAGAGATTATTCCTTTCACAATTGCTAGTTCAATCCTTTCTGCAATGTTTGGAAGTGTATATTCAGTCTCTTTCAAGCAGCTTTGCAAGCTTTCAATGGAGTTTTTAACTTCCTGGCCATTTATTTGAGTCTGTTTCATGCATTGTAGATTTTCCTGTACT